CCATTATTGTCGCGAAATATATTATTTTTCCCCGCGCTAACAATGGCCGCTCGCGCGAAAACAAATTTCTGGCGAAGTCGGATTTGCTGACGCTATCAGCGTGCACTATCGGGATTTTGAGCACGCTTACGTATAGTGAATTTGATTGCGCGACTCTGCCAGCTATGTTCTAATTAGTATTCTTCTATATTTTCATCATTTGTCTGCTCGGTATTGAACCGATGTTTTAAGGAGAAAGTATGTCATGGTCCCTCATGGGAGGTAAAGGGTTAACAGTTCCTTGCCCGAGCACAGCTGCCTAGTACATCGTGATCAGCAGTAGTTGCTTATGGAAAAAGATATTGAAACCCCAGGGGAAGCACAGACCTCCCTAAGATGAACCCCTGAGGAAGCACAGACCTCCCTAAGATGAACCCCTGAGGAAGCACAGACCTCCCTAAGATGAACCCCAGGGGAAGCACAGACCTCCCTAAGATGAACCCCTGGGGAAGCACAGACCTCCCTAAGATGAACCCCTGGGGAAGCACAGACCTCCTTGAGAACATGGGGCCCTCTACGCCTTCAAAGCTACCATGTTTCCTAAAAACCACTTCCCCAAAAATGAATTTATGAATTATAAATAATTACTACTTCTGGGTTTGTGTAGGGGTCATAATAAGGTTACTCTGCAGCCTTCAACTTCAATCAACATTCAAGAAGTATTCTGTTTTACATTTTTTTATTCTGTTTTCTTTAGGGAATTTTGGCGACCGTTATTTTGGAACTGCAAACTGACCAGAATCTTACGGTGCCATTGTAAAGCCCGTTCATTTTTATAAAATGTTCTGTAGAGAGAAGCTTGTTCGTACATGAACATTTTTAAATAACTTGTTTACTAGAGCATTTGTAAAAACAATTAATGGAACCAATATCATTAACAATTATACAAAATATGAAAATTACTTAATATAAAATTATTAAAAGACGCTGAACGGGTCAACTTCGTGGAGTTTTTTTGATCGGCACGATTTTATTAAGCTCTTCTAGAGCGTCGAAATGCAGATGCGCTCTGTTTGAAAATCGTGCACTTTTCACGACTTGGGATCAACGCTGACATTGGCAAGAGTATATGTAAGGATAGCTTATTTATTATCTTTTTTATTGTTATTGTTTATCGGGCGATTATATTAATGGATGGGAGGTTGAAAAGAATTTTTGTTTTTCAAACATTTCAATAAAGTTCGCAACGTCTTGATTTGCTTTGTATGTCTAGTTTTTTTGTCAATTAACTAAATAGAACGAAACTTTTTCTATTATCTTAATTAATCGCATACCCTGTGTGATGCATTTCAACGCGACGTTTTACCCATAGTCCTTTGCGGTTTGTCCAACCCCGTTACAAGTCCTTTGCAGTCAACGCTTATTCCTTTAAAGTGTACGCGAAAATCGGAGGAGGACCGGAAGAGTCAAACGCTACATCAAATCATAACTCATACCGCTCTAAGTTGCTTGTTGCAACAGAAACCGAAAACCCTTCGATAGATGTCTTCATGCGACGAAAAGACCTGTCCTTGGTACTGTCTTGGTCTTGTAACGAAACTTCTTTTTATTAATAAAAATAATAAATTTATAAAAGTCTTATCATAGGACTGTCACAGTCGGCCAATCACAAGGCTTGTAATATCTTTGCAAACTTGACAAGTCGGCCAATCACGAGGCTTGTATTATATTTGCAAATTTGACAACATCGGTTTTTTGTGTGCAGGTGAACTGTGTTTGTTCGCAACCAACTTCATTGAAACTGTTAAAATAGTTTATATTTGTCGCGCGTTTCTTGACACCCAAGTTTGTAAGCAGTGTATTTCTTTTCTGATTGATTTTTAGCAAAGCATCCCCATAATAATAGCCTTGACATCTACCTTGCATCAAAGGAGATGTAACCTTTAGCTGATCTTTGCAGTTGCGTGTAAAAGAGAGAAATGAAATTTGTTTGTTACTACTGTAATTACATTTGAAGCCAACTGTCAAAGTTGAAACATTTACACATGTAAAGTTAGCTCACACTGTTATTCTCACATATAGTTTGCGCTAGAGCTGTTCTTGTCCGCAGTGGTCCCATTTTATTATCAACCCTTTATTTTCTTTGAAAGCTGATGAATCATTGAAATAATTCAAGACTGAAGCTGTGTTCTTCCTGGTAAAAACGTTAGTGTTTTTCAGCCGCCAAAGATATCTCGATTCCAAGTGATTCCATACTCTCTCCTTTACGTAATAACTTCGCAGTGTTTTTCTTTCCTGATTTCACACTTCCTTCTGAATTCAGTGGCGATCCTGCCGTGTTTGTGTTACTCAGTGGTGAAGAAGAATTCTTCCTGTTTTTAACGGCTTTTTGCAAACCTTTGATTCGCACGTTGATCTCGTTTATCTGCGAGAAGTTCAATTTAGATTTACCCTGCTCGGCTGGGTTTTCTTCAATGCCTTCTTCCGTTTCTTCTTCGGCTAACGGCGGAAGAGGTTTGACCGGTTTCGGGACAAATTTATACCCTTTGCGATAAGAGCTCGTGGTTTGTTGATTGAATATTCCATACAGTCTTAGTAAATCTTCCTGCACTGGCGTACAAGGGGAAAAAAAGGCAGGAATTTTAATTCTATCAGGCGCAGTCAAAGGCCGATCTTTCTTCGTATTTTTCTTTTCAACAATGTCCGGCAGCAGACAAACTTTCATAGCTTTTGCACTCACTGTTTTGCGCAACTTTTTCTTGGATTTTTCTGTCACCTTATTTTCGACGGTGTAAAAAGGAGAAATAATCCGTTTCCCATTTCGCTGCATTTCTATTTTCCATTGTGCTGCGGTTTTAAAGTATTCCAAGTCGCATACTTCCAACGAAGCCTTTCCTTCTTCAATCAAAATATCTGCACACTGGGTATGTCCTAATTTTAGCGCGTGTATTAGCGGCGTTTCTCCCTTGCTGTTTTGTGTATCCACACTTAGACCGTAATGTTTTAATTTCTTAACAATCATCTTGACAATCGAAACATCTCCTACAGTTATTGTGTGAAAGAGTGCTGTGTTTCCATTTCGATCGACGGCGTTTAAATTATAGTCTACCCACTGAAGAAACAGAGCGACTAGTTTTTTTCTTTGCAAAATACAAGCATACGATAACGCGGTAAGCCCTTGTTCGTCTTGAAAACAAAGCTTGGCACCGTTTTTCAAAAGCATCTTTGCCAAGCCGAGTGCTTTCTCTTCGTCGTCTAGGAAACAAACCTCCATGATCGCGGAACGCTTGTCTTGGCCTTTCCAGTTTATATCAGAGCCAGCTTCGATTAGCAATCGAGCTTGTCTCCAACGTTTGTTTTGAATGGCCTGACTCAAAGCTGTCATATCGCCTTAGGAAACAACTGTTACCAATCGAACAGTTTACTTCTTATCGGCTAGAGAGTCAAACTTTTCACTTTACTGCGAGGGATTTGACTCAAAATTACAATGACACCGCAAAATTAAAAACACGAGTCAATAGGCAAGTACAGTGTACTTAACTCTAGCCAATGGGGTGGAAAATATTGATTAATATAGACAGGTGATACCGTAACGTTAATTATTTATTTTCCAAGTAAGCCTGATTTTTGTCTGCGGGAGAAAATGGGAAGACAATATCACACGGACAATATTTTCCCTGTTTTGATTCACGGAGAAAGAAATCAGACCGACGATACAAATTTAAAGCTTTTCCTTTTCATATGGACTCGTTGGGCACTCGAATTATACATTTCGCTATGCTTTTAACGAATGGCAAAATAAAATGAAAAACATTCTCCAAAATAATTCATATAAACAACCTTGACGGCAAATCGCTATGTCGACAAAGGAAAATTTTAGTCTAAACATTTCTTGCTTTATTTCAAAGGATTTAAATTTTGCATCTAAGTTATATTTAAAATAACGATGAATATATTTCTGAAATAACAATATTTATTTATTTTTAAAATAACGATAAATTTATGTTGTTTCTGTAACTAATTTATTGGCGATATTATGATTTATTCCTGATTTTAGGTTGCTTCATTTTATTCAGATTTTTGCACTTTGTTACCAACTCTGCTTTAAATAATTTAATTGAAGATAATTTTTATGAAAAGAAACAATTTAATTGCTTCACGGTCTTTCCTGTGAAAAGGTGGCAGAAAGATCGATCGCCGGATGGTTGAATTTAACGCAGAGTTTTTATTTTATAAAGGAATCCTTTCATAAAGGAAGAAATGCAATGTCTTGAAGAAAGTCTACATGATATAGGCTTTTAAGATGAAAACATTAATTAAATAACCCATGAACAAGGCTAGCAAGGAATACGAGGAAAATAGGCAGATTGCAAATAACAAACTTTTAAGATCGTTTGTTTAAATTTCCAAGGCGAACAAACTGTGACGCAGCTCCATTACTAGTTAAGATGCAAATTGTCAAATATGTTCATAATTGTTATCGTCAAAATTAGATAACGTTTGTTCGAAGAGTTGCCTGGACATTGGTCACTGAAAATGTGGCTTATTTGAAATAAGTTTTATAATAGGCAGCTACCGCTGGAAAAGTACCGACGTAGCAAGTGATTGCACAAGAACAAACATGGCGACTAACACGTGAGAGAACAAATTTGAAATGGTAAGCTACTTGTTAAGGTTTTTTAAGTCTCTTCTTTTAGTATATATTTTTACTATGGCTAAGACGTTGGTAAGATAACTGTTTCTGTCACAGGGGAAGAAAAAGAAGCCGTTTATTGACAAGAAAAGCGCTCATAGTTTCCAGCTCGTCCATCGAAGTCAGAAAGATCCCTTACAAGCTGACGAAGAGAGTTCTAAACATGTGTTGCTACCGTTAGATTCTTCCAGTCAGGCATGTTTTTATTTCTTAATTCTTTATATTAAAAGTGTAGCATTCAAGCATTTATCAAAAATCATCGTTTGGAAAACGTCTGTAAACGAAAGTATTTAAACACTTCCCTCTCGTATAACTATTATATGGTGTGAAAAAGTTTTGGAAGATCCTCTTGGTAAGTTAAATACTTAAAAGGAAATGCGTGTTGTATATGATTAAAAATTTTTATGTGCTATGGGCAATTTATTGACTTACTTAGAAGACAGGTTTAATTTTATTTATTAAATCAAAGATATTAGTGATAGACATTTTTTTCCTAGAAAAGTTGATTTTTGAGGAACAAAACAATGGTGCTGCGGTAATAATCTTGGAGGGTTTGTGTCTGAAATTTTTATCAACACAAGTTGAATGTGTCTGAAAGAGACATTTATTTTCATTAAGGATGAAGATTGTGAATCATCAGGCCATGCATTCCTTTGATACTTGCAAGATTTACCATCTGCTGTAGAAACATTGTATTTTAAACATTCCTGTTTGCCTGAAATTGAGTGAATGAATCTTTGTTTTACTTACATCCAGGATCCAAGTCAAATAGCCTCCAAGTAAGTATAAAATATTTTGTAAAATAACCGAGATACTATGAGCACCCCAATTGGTCACAAACCTATTGTTTATTGCATCAGTAAGCTCATAATGAAGGGAAGTTTATTTAATGAAAGCTTGGTATGTTGGGAGAACACTGGAAAAGGTGGTAAATCATTTGCTTCTGGCTTGTGATTAACATACTTTTCTCAGGCTTTCCCGACAGTCTGCGTGGGGAAGTTACACTGGTGAACTGATGGAGAGTGCTGTCTGTTTCTTACATTATTAATATTATCGTTATGATCATAATTCATTCAATTACCTGTAGTACTTTTATAGAACCCTTTGAACTCACATGATTTAGTATCAGCTCCTACAGTTCTTCACTATTAAATCCTGTATTGTATTTTCTTGATAATCCTTGTAGGTAGCTCCGTTATNAACTGTGACGCAGCTCCATTACTAGTTAAGATGCAAATTGTCAAATATGTTCATAATTGTTATCGTCAAAATTAGATAACGTTTGTTCGAAGAGTTGCCTGGACATTGGTCACTGAAAATGTGGCTTATTTGAAATAAGTTTTATAATAGGCAGCTACCGCTGGAAAAGTACCGACGTAGCAAGTGATTGCACAAGAACAAACATGGCGACTAACACGTGAGAGAACAAATTTGAAATGGTAAGCTACTTGTTAAGGTTTTTTAAGTCTCTTCTTTTAGTATATATTTTTACTATGGCTAAGACGTTGGTAAGATAACTGTTTCTGTCACAGGGGAAGAAAAAGAAGCCGTTTATTGACAAGAAAAGCGCTCATAGTTTCCAGCTCGTCCATCGAAGTCAGAAAGATCCCTTACAAGCTGACGAAGAGAGTTCTAAACATGTGTTGCTACCGTTAGATTCTTCCAGTCAGGCATGTTTTTATTTCTTAATTCTTTATATTAAAAGTGTAGCATTCAAGCATTTATCAAAAATCATCGTTTGGAAAACGTCTGTAAACGAAAGTATTTAAACACTTCCCTCTCGTATAACTATTATATGGTGTGAAAAAGTTTTGGAAGATCCTCTTGGTAAGTTAAATACTTAAAAGGAAATGCGTGTTGTATATGATTAAAAATTTTTATGTGCTATGGGCAATTTATTGACTTACTTAGAAGACAGGTTTAATTTTATTTATTAAATCAAAGATATTAGTGATAGACATTTTTTTCCTAGAAAAGTTGATTTTTGAGGAACAAAACAATGGTGCTGCGGTAATAATCTTGGAGGGTTTGTGTCTGAAATTTTTATCAACACAAGTTGAATGTGTCTGAAAGAGACATTTATTTTCATTAAGGATGAAGATTGTGAATCATCAGGCCATGCATTCCTTTGATACTTGCAAGATTTACCATCTGCTGTAGAAACATTGTATTTTAAACATTCCTGTTTGCCTGAAATTGAGTGAATGAATCTTTGTTTTACTTACATCCAGGATCCAAGTCAAATAGCCTCCAAGTAAGTATAAAATATTTTGTAAAATAACCGAGATACTATGAGCACCCCAATTGGTCACAAACCTATTGTTTATTGCATCAGTAAGCTCATAATGAAGGGAAGTTTATTTAATGAAAGCTTGGTATGTTGGGAGAACACTGGAAAAGGTGGTAAATCATTTGCTTCTGGCTTGTGATTAACATACTTTTCTCAGGCTTTCCCGACAGTCTGCGTGGGGAAGTTACACTGGTGAACTGATGGAGAGTGCTGTCTGTTTCTTACATTATTAATATTATCATTATGATCATAATTCATTCAATTATCTGTAGTACTTTTATAGAACCCTTTGAACTCACATGATTTAGTATCAGCTCCTACAGTTCTTCACTATTAAATCCTGTATTGTATTTTCTTGATAATCCTTGTAGGTAGCTCTGTTATCCTCAGATAGCTCTGATATATAGACAAACAGAAAAACATAACCAACCAAACAGAACAAAATAAAATAGTAAGAAAAAAAAAAGTTGAATATAGTGCCTTAATTCCTAAGTTTGATTTTTTTTTTACTTAATGTTTTAACATGTTACTTTATGGTTTTCCTGTCTCTATATCAGACTAGTGTGATGATATGGATATATCAACAAAGTTGAAATGGTAAATTGGCCACTGTAACGATTACAAAAGCTGACGATAGTGTGATGATAGTCAACTTCTTGATTTTGTATTACAAAAGCACCTTGTCTTTTATATAAATGTTACTAATGAGGTAATTCTACTTGTTGCCTCAGAGATGAGCATAAAAAGAAGGAGGAGGAAAGACAGCATGGAATTTTCTTTGATGAGGACTACAATTACTTGCAGCACCTTAAACCTCGCACAAACCTTACACTGGAGCCACTCCCTGATAATGTGGCTGTAATTGAAGCCAAGACAACTGCAGATCATGTGGAGGTAAGTTTTTCAAACAACTTAGTGGTGTTTTCTCATATGAAACTTTTATTGCACCTTAAGGGAGTAATTTCTCCTTTAAGTGTTGACATGATACCAAACAGAGAGACAATGATAGGAAAGAAAAGTATAGACCAGGGGTTATAATCTGTTTTAACACAAAACTCTCAGAGCTAAAATTATAAGAAATATCTAGCTGACTGTAAGTACTGGATCATAGTCAGTATCTGAGCAACTGCAAACTTACCCCTCCCCAGACCAAACAACAGTCAACTGATAACCAGGTAGGGTTTAAATGTTGTGTTAGGGGAGGGGTGGGTGAGCAGTTGCTCAGGTACTGGTATCGATCCAGAGAATTGATTTGTAGATCTTGGAAGTGAAATGGTTAATGCTTTTATTATCCATATTTCTAACGTTATGATTAACTGAATTTCATTTGATTCTTTATTCTAGTTTGGTAAAGTCAAATTGCCAACTGAAGTATTTGCTTCCAGATATGAGGAAGAAGAAGGAATGCTTAATCTTGCTTCTCCAGTTTCAGGTGATTGAATGAATATCTTTGACCTCTTGAGCAGGCCTATCTCCATTTAGACCATGGGGAATAAAAGTGAGTGGTTAACCTAAACTGCAAGACAGCTATATTTTTGCATTACTCAGGAGAATGTACACTTGCTGCTATTTTAAGTTGTGGAGGGAGTGTAAAAACAGGATGGGGGTGTGAAAAGTCACTTACAAATGGGAATATGAAGTGGTACATATTACATCAAGAGTTCCCAGAATTAGGTCTTTGGATGCTCTTACTACTGGTGAGCTTTATGTTAGTTTGGTTTCCATTTTTTACATTCTAGGTCCCCGGCCTGACTTGGATCCTGATATTGTGGCTGCATTGGATGATGCACTGGATCTGAATGACCCTGATAACATTTTGGAGGATGATTTTATGTTGAAGGTAATGGAGGTGTCTGTGAGGGGGGCATTTCCTTTGAGAAATGCAATAGCATTATAATAGTGTTAAGTGTTAAAAAAAAAGAAACTCAGGTTATTGAAATTTAACTGCAAAGTTTGGCATAGTTGCTGGTGTATTCCTTAACTGTAACACTAATGAACAGCCTGCCAGGTGAATATGTAGATTTATTACACGACTCGGTCAGTCAGAGGGCCAATAACTAAAATCAACCAATCAAAATGTTCTATTGCTGGTCAGTTTCTCTCAGTAATGGACTGGGGACTGTCCCGAATGGTCCTGAGTGATACCGCCCTTGTGTCCCTTTGAACTTCAGTTGTATAATAAATCTCATTAACCAAGCTTGCTCAGGACCATACTGGAAGAACATCGGCCCTCAGTCTTTTTTGTATGGACCTCGCTGCGCTCGGTCCGTACTGTCAAGACCTCGGGCCGATGTTCTCTCAGTATGGCCCTCGTGCTCGGTTAATAAGATATATATTATATAATCTTTGCACAGCTTTTTCACCCTTAACTTGTGTTTTGCTCACAAGACTTTAAGATACGTAGCAGGAGTTAGTTTTTCCTGATGGTGGAGTTTTACAAATTTCAACTGAAAGATTGCTTTCGCAGAGGAATTTCATTTTGCCTTTATTTGTAGTACTCCAAAATCTGTTCAATTTCAGTATTTGATTAAACATTTGATTGAAACAATTGTGAAATTTGTGAGATTTAGTTAAAATATATACAGGATGAATAAATTTAAGACATGTTTTCATTTCTCCAGGCAAATGGTGAACATGCAGACTATGAAAGGTTAGCAGGGTTTTAGAATACCATATGAAATACATGTATTTTGTGTTTGAAACACACTTTGAACTCTGATGGATTCCTCTTAAACACTTTTTGTTTCTTTAAACCAAAAGTTTTCTAGTTAAAAGTCTTCCTTTGAATGAAGTAAACAAAGTTCAGTACCTAACAGATCCTTCTCAGATTATTTGGTACTAATGGATGATTACACAGTCCTAACTTACTTTGTTATTAAGAAATGGTAAACAACTTGTAGGTAGCTCCGTTATCCTCAGATAGCTCCGATATATAGACAAACAGAAAAACATAACCAACCAAACAGAACAAAATAAAATAGAAAGAAAAAAAAAGTTGAATATAGTGCCTTAATTCCTAAGTTTGATTTTTTTTTTACTTAATGTTTTAACATGTTACTT